TCCTAGCTACTTGGGAGGCTGAGGGCAGGAGGATTGCTTGAGGCCAGGAGTTTGAGAACAGCCTGGGCAAAAGCAAGACCCTATCTCTAGCTGGGCGTCGTGGTGGGCACCTGTAGTCCTAGCTACTTGGGAGGCTGAGGCAGGAGGATTGCTTGAGCCCTGGAGTTGGAGGTTGCAGTGAGCTACGATGTGATGCCACTGCACTCCAGCCCTGGATGAGAAAGTGAGACCTGTCTCAGAAAAACAAAAACAAAAACTCATTGCTCTATTATTGTGAGAGTGTCTTTGGTTTCTACAAAGAATGGCTTGGAGGAAATGGGATAGTTGAGTCAGACTCAAGGAAGAATTTAGTAAAAGCAAGGGATTAAATCCTGAACAAAACTTCCTACCATAATCTCTGCTTCCTGGACATATTTAAGAGTAACATTGTGTGTGTATGTGTGTGTGTGTGTGTTTGTGTTCTCAACCAAGAAAGAATAATTTTTCCACTGTCTCCCTTCTGCTTTAGTACTGTTGGTGGGAAAGGAAGTACACTTTAAGAATTTGATCTGGCCAGCGCAGTGGCTCACGCCTGTAATCCTAGCACTCTGGGAGGCCAAGCGGGCGGATTGCTAGAGGTCAGGAGTTCGAAACAGCCTGAGCAAGACCCTGTCTCTACCAAAATAGAAAGAAATTAATTGACCAACAAAAATTGTATACAAAAAATTAGCCGGCATGGTGTGCATGCCTGTAGTCCCAGCTACTCGGGAGGCTGGGGCAGTAGGATTCTGAGCCCAGGAGACTGAGGTTGCTGTGAGCTAGGCTGACGCCTGGCACTCACTCTAGCCTGGGCAAGAAAGTGAGACTCTGTCTCAAAAAAAAAAAAAAAGAATTTGATCTGAGACCAGTTAATAATACCTGTGGTTTCAATTCTGCCATTTCTTTCTTTGTGGTGTTTGGCGTGGAGAGCCTGAGTCAGGAGGCCCTTTTGTTTGAAGACAGCCTGAGGACCTATTTGGTTGAGAAGAACACAGATCTGCTGGCGGGTAGCTCATGCCTGTAATCCTACCTCTCTGGGAGGCCGAGGCGGGTGGATTGCTCGAGGTCAGCAGTTCCGAACCAGCCTGAGCAAGACGAACCCCGTCTCTACTATAAATAGAAAGAAATTAATTGGCCAACTAATATACATATATAAAAAAAAAAATTAGCCGGGCATGGTGGCGCATGCCTGTAGTCCCAGCTACTTGGGAGGCTGAGGCAGCAGGATCGTTTGAGGCCAGGAGTTTGAGGTTGCTGTGAGCTAGGCTGACGCCACGGCACTCACTCTAGCCTGGGCAACAAAGTGAGACTCTGTCTCAAAAAAAAAACAAAAAAAAAAACTCTTGCAATTTCCTGAGTGAGAAGAGTGTCTCTGATTATTCGTAATGAGCCCCTTTCCATCACACCTGAGTTTATGGTAATGAGGTCACTTAGAATGGAGCCCTTAGAAGGCCTCTGCATATAGCTGGTCATCAGGTGATTAGAGGGTTGGAACTTTGAGCTCCACTCACCAGTCTCTGGGAAGTGTTAGGGTTGGAGATTAAACTCTATTAAATATTATAAAAACTCTTGAACAACAAGATTTAATGGGCTTCGAGGTGGCTGTACACCCGGAGAGGGCGTGGAAGCTCCGAGCCCTGCTCCCTGGGCATCTCTTCATCTGGCTATTCACTGGTTTATAATACCCTTTATAATAAACTGGTAAACATAAGTATTTCCTTGAGTTCTAGCAAATTACTGAACCCAAGGAGGGTGTTGTGGGAACCCTAATTTATAGCTGGTTGACCAGAAGCTCGGGCCACAAGCTGGGGCTTGCAACTGGCATCTCAAGTGGGGGCCGGTCTTGTGAGACTGAGTCCCCAACCTGGGGGAGCTGACATTATCTCCAGGCAGATGGTGTCAGAACTAAATTGAAGTATAGGACACTCAGCTGGTATCTGCTGGAGAATTCCTTGGTCTGTGGGGGAGAACCCCCACACATTATGGGGACCACAGCCCTCTGTGTGCCTTTATTTTACCTTACCCTTGACTGATAATCTGACTATAGCATTCTAGGTAGCTGTCACTGTTGCTGAAGAGAAGTCCAGAACCATTCTGATCTCTGATCCTTTATATGACATTCTTCTCCCCAGCCCACTTTGGGAGCAAGACCCTGTCTAAAAGAAAAAAAAGATGCTTGACATATTTAGTCTTTTTTTTTTTTTAGAGAGATGGGGTCTTGCGCTGTCACCCAGTGCAGTAGCACGTCATAGCTCACTATGGCCTTGAGTTCCTGGGCTCAGCTGATCCTCCTGCCTCTGCTTCCCAAAGTGCCAGGGTTACAGGCATGAGCCACTGCACCCGGCCTTAGCATCCTTTTTATGTGCTTATTTGCTATCTGTGTATGTCTGGTGAAGTATCTGTTCAAATTGTTTTCCCATTTTTGTATTGGATGGCCTTTTGTTTTGCAAATATTTTCAAAGTCTGTGGCTTATCTTTTTTTGTTTGTTTGTTTGTTTGTTTTGTTTTGTTTTTTTGAGACAGAGTCTCGCTTTGTTGCCCAGGCTAGAGTGAGTGCCTTGGTGTCAGCCTAGCTCACAGCAACCTCAATCTCCTGGGCTCAAGCAATCCTCCTGCCTCAGCCTCCCGAGTAGCTGGGACTACAGGCATGCACCACCATGCCCGGCTAATTCTTTTTTCTATATATATTAGTTGGCCAATTAATTTCTTTCTATTTACGGTAGAGACGGGGTCTCACTCTTGCTCAGGCTGGTTTCAAACTCCTGAACTCGAGCAATCTGCCTGCCTCGGCCTCCCAAGTGCTAGGATTATAGGCGTGAACCACCGCGCCCGGCCTGTGGCTTGTCTTTTAATTTCTTTAGCAGTGTCTTCTGAAGAGTAAATGATTTTAATTTTGATGAAGGCCAATTTCTCAACTTGTTCTTTCATAGATTGTGCTTTTGTGGCTAATAAATCTTTGTCTAACTCAAAGTCATAAAGGTTTTCTCTCAAGAACTCTTGTTCTCTGAATCTTACTTTTTTTTTTGAAAAATAGGCCGGGCGCGGTGGCTCACGCCTGTAATCCTGGCACTCTGGGAGGCCGAGGCAGGTGGATTGCTCGAGGTCAGGAGTTCGAAACCAGCCTGAGCAAGAGCGAGACCCCGTCTCTACTATAAATAGAAAGAAATTAATTGGCCAACTAATACATACAGAAAAAATTAGCCGGGCATGGTGGCACATGCCTGTAGTCCCAGCTACCCG